AACAGAGGCGGATCCTCTCGACGCCGGTGGAACGACTGTCGGCAAATTTGTTGGCCGGCTGCGTAATAAGTTGGCGGAATCTGCGCCGGTACGCGGTATCGCGTTTCCAGGGATCGAGAAAGGTTGAGAGATGTCGCGGGGGACGAGAGTATGCGCGACAGAGACGCTAGGAAATTTGTCGTAGCGCTGAACGCGTGGAATGCCGGGAAACAGTCTTTGCGCCGCGATGAAAATCTTTCTTGCGAATCGACGATTCCTTTTCTTTGTTCCAACGAATTCACTCGGAATGTCGATTTTTATCTTTTTTCTTTTTTCTTTTGCGACATTTTAGAAAAATCTATATGTATATAGACAATCGGGGATTCGATCAATATTAATACGATTTTCGAAAATCATCTGTTATACGTATTTACGATCTTGTTATTTTTGTATTCAAATTTTCGCGATATAAGAATAAAATATTCTTATTCACACGTTGAACGACGATGGATTTTTATATAGTATATTGTGTTCAGAAAACATTCGTTGTTACATTGTTGTCAAAATATTTTCCTTTCTCAAATATTCAAAAATCTCATAAATATATACACAATTCTTTCTTTGCTTTTCTTCGAATATAAATTTTTTTTCAACAAATCCTGTATTACCGGTTATCGGATGAGTCACGTATAGAGGCGTGCGAGTACCCGAAAACATCGGATTCTCGAAAATATCTCGTGATTCGAGATTGTCGGAATTTCCCAGAATTTCTGAGAACTGTTGCTCTTTTAATTTCACAAACGAGTGTATAAAATTTTATTCGTAAATTTTTTTTCTCTTCTCTTCTGGAAAAATTCTGGAGAATCTTGGTCTTGAAATTCTCCATCTACGAGATATTTTCGAGTTCTCATACACCTCTAATCGCTATAACTTCTAATATATCACTAGATACACCAGATGAATTTAATAAATCTAGTGCCAATTATCGGTTATCCTCACGACAATTAAATAACAAGCGATTAACTCGATCGATAAGTTAAATCAAAATCAGTTTTTGCGATCTAACTCGCGATTAATTCGTATCATCTTCGCTATTTTTCGCGATAATACTTTTTATCTAGTATCATTATAGATGGCGAAGATATAGCATAAGATAGAGAATAAAATATCCACATGGAAAAGAGCTAGCCGCCGTTAATTTCCTCTATGACAGTCTAACTGTAGATGCAGCGGTTCGATTAGAGCCACCAATCAGGAAGCAAACATTTACGAATCTTTTATTTTCCTCTTGGGTACTGTTAACCGTCTGAGAAAAACTGAGTTGCACACGTATCCTAAGAATAGTAATCCACGTGTAATTACGATTACTTAAGCGCGGTTAAACTGTGCAAACGTAGTCGTACGATAAACGATTATCCTTTGGTCACACTTTTGAAACGATACATCGAATTAAATATCTCGCGGCATAGAGCAGCGTCGTCACTTTTCCGCTCTTCGTTCCTACCTCTTCTTCCGTGATTATCCGTAAATCTTTTTAGCTCGGCGCGTGCCATCGAATAGCACGCATTTGCATTTCCATATCAACGGTATAACGAGTCGCATCTCCGTATCGCCATTTCGTCGCGATCGAAATTGGTATGCATACTTGGATTAGAAAAAAGAGAAAAAAAAGAAAAGGGAAAAATTAATTTTCCCAGAAAGCGTTACGAATCTCGCCATGTTTCGCGAGAATTAATCGATCGAGAGGGAAAGAGAGAAAGAGAGAGAGAGAGAGAGAGAGATAAAGGGAGAGAAAAATGGTACGAGCGGCTCGTGAACGTGATTCGCGTTACATCACGTAATTAATGCGGCCGGTACGCGCAAGTAATTCAAAGGAACGATCGAGAACGAGCGTTCGAGAGCCGGATTTTAATTCGATCCGGTAATCCGCGCATGTACTATTTTAATCGAGGTGCAGGCGAAGTATGGAATTAATGGCGGAGCGGGAGCATCTATCAAGCTTCGGGAGATAAAGATGTTTCGATGCCGATACAAATTCCGCGGTTAAACGAGTGAAAGTATCTCGACCGGGGATTCGCTACTACGTATGCGTTATTAGTCGCGAGCATCGACAACATTGGCCAATTCAGAAATTTCTTCTTGTGGGAATGTTAATCACGAGTTATAGGACATCCTTTCGACGGCGAATCGAACAGCGAATTAATTTTTCTCCGTGTCGAACGGAACGAGCGATCGATTCGAAAATTGTTCCTCTTGATCGAGGAACGTTGGAATAATCGGGATGCGATCACGCGACGCATGGTGGAAAGAAAGGAAACGAGAGGGATGGAAAAACGAGGAAGGTCGGGTTGCGCGGGTCGCGTTCCTCTCGCGCGTGGACAGCGCGATGGCCGGGGAAAAAGAAATTGAGGAGGAATGCGGGAGGGTGGGTCGAAGAGGCGGGCGTGGAACGGCGGAGAGAGGACTTATCGTGTCCTCGCGTCTATTTCTCGATCGCTCCCAGCGGTAAATTGAACGCGAGCAAAACGACGGGACGTGGAAGGCAATTACCGGCGAAGACAGCGAAAAACCCAGATCGATAGACGATAAAGGAGAGGGGGCTTTCGTTATGACGAACGAGCGAGACGGCCGTGTAGTACGACCTGTACGGGGGGAGGGGTTCAGGGACGATGAAAAATAGAGGAGAGGTTCTTGCGAGGCGAGCCCGAACGGATCGCCGCGCCGGTCTACCGCCGCCGAATGATCGATAATTAACGTCCCCATCGAGCAAGACTCGAAGGGTTAACACGAGCAAATAACGACAACCAGTCTTAATCGCGAGTAAGTGCTTCTTATAGTCAAATCGTTCGATCTTGTTCCAATTTTATGTATTTATCCATTTTCCGATAAATAACAAAGGAAGACGTAAAGATAGGATAACTCGAACTCGAATTTTCGCCATGAAATAAGATTAATAAGATTCATCATTTAAAGCGTGATAAGCGTTTCGATCCAAGTGGAAAAATTATAAAAACCGGATTACGAAAATATTTTTCTCTCGATTTTTCTTCTTTTCCATGCGCGAAATATCGCGATACGTAATTTAAATTTTGCGATTTTTCTTTTGCGAAAGAGAGATAGATCGAAAAGAGATACTTTAGAATCGATCGTTCCACTCGTAGAAGAATTATCTTTCGAACTATGTCTCGATATTCGTATAAATTTGATCGAACGACACGATTAATAGATCAACACGGTTATTTTCAACGTTCGGTCGATTTCTCTCGAATTTCTCTAGAATCTCTCCTCGCCGTGTTTGTTATCGTAAGTTGAAATTATGAAACGAATACCAACGAGAAACGCGCATAAATCGTATAGGAATAAATTATAGCAAGTGTTAGGACACCTTCTAAAATTCGTAATTATCCGAGGAACATGATGGACCGCGTTACTTGGAAAAGCGAATTATAAATATTGAGATTGCGACGAGGGCGGAACGGTGGGTTACGAAGCGAGGAAGCGTTTCTCGAGAATCCGTGGGCCGCGGAATGGAAATCTGGCGGCCGCGATTCGACTTTTTCTCCTGCTCCCGACCAGAATTATGATCCAGCCTTCCGAAGCTCGAATGCGTTGGCGGGCAGCAGGGCTGTGGCACGGATCTGCGTAGGCCCCACCTCGTTTCGAACGGTAGCTATCGTCTCGAAGGAAATGCAGGCCCGCGCGTGCACTCTGTCGAGTATTCTCCGCGAATGGCGAGTGCACACCCATCCATCCGTGGAACATGTCTCCTGAAGATGAATCGATGGAATAGGATCGATTCTTCGGTGACGATCGTACCACGATCCGTACCGCATCTTTCCAACGTAACGTAACTCTCGTTGTTCGCGAGAATCAATTTTTTTATCGCGTTTCACTCCAATGGAACAAACTCTAAAGATCTTCGATGATAAATTACTCGTTTACTCGATTAAATTCGACATTACGAGAATAAAATGTAAAAGTGATTACGAAAATATATATTGTATACGTACGATATGTATATTAGCGTCGTTCGAGTCTTCAAGTCAGGAGAGATGCGTTACGATTCAGAAAAACGTAAAACTCGATTCTTTCGTAAAAAATTATACGTCATCAGTTTGATCACCATCGAGTCGTTGATCGCACACGTTTTTTTAACTCGAAGGTATCACCGTTTCGATTCGCGTGTGCGAATGGCGGAACCGATGTGCTCGTAAGGCGAGTAAGTTGCACGATCCAAGGATGAAATTACGAGGAAAGTGTATCCACGATTAATCCACGATCCCTCAACGGTCGTCTTCAGACTTGTAATTTCTCGAGAGGCAAGTGCCACCGAGTTCTCGTTTCTACTAGGTATAACAGGATAACGTTTCAATGTTCATTTATCAAGGTACTTCGTGACTCCGTCGTAGCGGGCTACGATAACGCGTGTATTAATAACAATCGATTAACGAAGACGAAGCGCATGACCGGTACGCGCGTCGATAATCGAAGAATTGCGTGAGTAGGATATAAATCCGCGCTCTCTCCCACAAACGGTGAGAAGATAAACTTGGATTTTTTCCAACGATCCAACGTGCATGTTTGCACGGGCTTTCCGATCGCGCGAAAATATACTTTTACGAATGCGATTGAGACATCAATTTTTATACCCACGAATCATCGAGCATTCGTACGACGCGAGATCTAGTTTTTCATTTTTCGTGAAGCAACGATATCGTTTCTTCGGTTCGATTGACGTAAGAAGGTGAGAAGGTAAAATGAGAATTAAGAGCGTACGTAAAACGGACGGAAGTGAATTTTTTTCATTCGAAACAGGACTTTTAGAAGGAAATTTAAAAATTAAAAATTAAAAATAGCGAGGAACGAAGACGTGGGTGGGTTCCGCGTGGCTCAAAGATTCGAAGTAAAGGAAATAATTTTAATATATCAAACTTTCACAATTTTGCCGTTGTTAAATCTCGTTAACTCGACGTATAATTTTAACTTCCCTCTCCAATGTTCTTGCCGAAAGTATCTTGGGTATCGAACGTGTTCGTAAAACATCAGCGTTGCAAACTCGCAAAATTTATAAGAAAGCAATTTTACAGGAGTGTTACGAAAAAAGTGTTACACCGTTCGAGAATTATTCTCGTCGAGGCGCGTAAATACTGTTTTATTCTTGGACAGGATGCCGGGATGAAAGTTATTGCCCTTATTAACGCGATCATTCGCGAGTCGGGATAAGGACGTACGATCGCGGAAGAGGACGAGGGTCGAGAGAAGGGAAACGACGACGCGGTGAAATACGACGAAACGGGCGAAGGTATGGATCGTAATTTTCTTCGGTTTGGTCCCTCGCAGGCGATCGAGGGCTCGTGTTCCCTTTCGAAACTCTGGTCTTTCGTTCCACGTATGAATCACGGACCATTCGATTCGACGAACTGACGAAACGAAAAATAATATGGAACAATTGCGAGACACGATCGATCGATAAAACGATGATCCTTTCCTAGACTCGAGATATATCTGGTCGTTACGCGATCGGTGTTACTCGGATTTCGGAAACGATCTTATCGATGGATTTCTGGCGTGTACGAGACTCGCGATCAGATTCGTCGTCCCGTTGATCGCGATCCGATTCTCGATCTTGGATCGCTCCGCTCGGTGCGGCGCGCTACCATCGAGATGAGATTAGATAGCCGATGGAGAGAAAAGGGTGGCGGGACGGTGAAAAATCGAGGCGTCGCAATTTGTTATTTACCATTCTCCACGTTCGGTAGCAATTATTCCTCGGCGATGCGATTCGATAGCGCGCGGTCGGGTGCATTTTCATCCGGTCGCGTTGAATCAAGATTATCTATCTGCATATTTCTCGGCTCGCGAGATCTCGATCGGCGAGATCGTCGTCGATCGATCACGTTTCTCTCGAATTTGATCTCCTTCTCCCGATTTCGATTTTCAACCTGATCCGATTCTGCGTTTTCTTCGATCCTCGAATAGAAATTTTATGTACACGACTGAAATTTTAGCGGATTTCGATTTTTGTGATCTTTGACAGAAAATAGGTAAACAATTAACGTATCGAGCGATGATTATTTTCTTTGTGATATCCTTTTCAAATTATTAAAACTTATCTTTTGATTCAATTTACTTCTTACTTTATAAAGATATTTCATTCATTATAAATTCAAGTAGGTAAGAGCGACAAGGGAGAATACAAATGAATACAATTTGATGGAAAAAAATTGTGGAATTTCCTTCTATTTCTTGGAATGGGTATTATTCGCGTATTATTCGAGGAATTTCGATCGATCCGGTCGCGCATCCGGAAGAGACGAAGGCGAGCACAGCATTGAGAGGCCGATCGAATAAATTCGTCCCGCGGAATAGGTCGCGGTTGAAAACGCGGAAAGGCTCTCAAGATCGAGACAACAGCGCTCCTTATCTGCTACGTTTGGCGCGCGAGTGCGCGGAAAAGTATATGTAACCGATCCACGGCTTCCCTCTTATACGCGTGTCACGCAAATGCGTACGCGAGGCACGTACGATTTCCTGGAGTAACGGCCCCGAGTCTCGTGGTGATTCGCGTTCCTCGCCTTCTTCCTGCTCTTGTACGCCCGATAAACGCGAAAAAAAGAAAAAATACTTATCGATTACCGATCGAGCCACTGAATCGGTGGTATCACGATCATATCCGAAGAGCGTAAATATTTACTTGGTCGCTATACGTATCGCGCTCACGAGTTTTATACTTGCAATTATATTGGAATAATTTTGCTTCGAACGGAGTGGAACGGCACCGAACTTTATCGTGGCGTGGGCAAAGTGTTAATTAACGGATAGACAAATCGGTCGGGCATACGAAGGACGAGAATAGGCGTAAAATAGGTTCGGTGCAGCTGCTCGATTCGACCGATATCGATTGATCGTGGAAGCGTCGCGCGTTGCGTCAGAGAATGTATATATAGCGAGTACTCGGTTAATTGCGCCATAAGCGACGCTCGAGGAATACAACGAAGAAGAACAACTATTAATCAACGCGAAAAGAGGCGAAAGGGATGAACGATGCAGTTCGACGCTTGTCCATACGTTCGTTGATTAAGAATTGCTCAAAATTTGAAATTCTATCGTATATCGTTATTACGAATCATTGGACAGTGGATTACCGATCGCGGAGGAGAACAATGGAAAAGAGAAAGGAAAGAAGAGGAAAAGGACGCTGATATCGCTGCTATCTTGCGTCCAGCGACGCAATTTAAATATTACGCTCCCCGCATCGATGGGAATAAATTTGAAGAGGAAGGATAAATTTATTAATTGTTATAAGTCTCGAGTTCGCCTTCGGCTAGCTCTAGCTTCCTTATCGAGAAAAAGGAGTTATCGCGGATGACGTATCGACCGATCGATATCGTCCCGCTGCGTAAGCAGCGAGTTATCGAGCCACTCGCGTGCTTCATCGCGTCAAGATCGAGGGGAGGAAAAGTGGATGCGAGATCGTACCACCTACGGCGACCGCGTTTCTATACGCGAGAGCAATCAAAGAGCGCCGATTCCTTCTCTCGTTCCCTGGACGATACGGCTGGAGAGCAGCAGGATTTCTTGCCTCGTTTTAGCGAGAGGACATCGTGAGTTACGTCGCGTCCGACTTTGTACGAAACGAACGATGCGATCACGATCCAGGAGCGTGGATGCCCTCGTTCGTTCGATTCGACGAATTGAGCAAGCGATTCGTCGATAGGTAGACCTTGATGATTCGTCGATTCTCGTCGATTCTGATGCAATCTGTCTGTATAAATTGCTGTCGAACGAGCCAACTCTTCGATACAGATCTCGGCCTCGTTGTTACGAACGAAGAAAAAGAAAAAGAAAAAAAAATCGCGTAAATTACGAAATATTTACGAAATATAGCTAAGGTATAGAAAAATCGAAGTCGATCTTGTTTAATCTTTCATATAGAAGAAAAAATAGAAGAAAACCTCGACCTCGTAGTTACAGGACAAGGAATATTCGATTGTACGTACAATCAGAAGGAGAGTTTAAAATTATACTCTGTATCGTCGAGCGCGAATTTGCAATTGCAATTTAAAAAGAGATAGAGTTTCAGAAGGTGGAAGAATTTGCAAAAGAGCGAGGAAAATTGGAAAGAAAGAAGTAATACACGATCGTTTGGCCCGGCGTTGAAATCTCCGGAGACACGAGCGCGCGATTCCAGCTTCGGAATCGAGCGGATCCCCTCGGTTGACGAGGTACGCGGTAATGAGCGGGCCTCATCGGTTATTCGCAGGGAAACCGTTCGACTTGGAAGCGTGGTGGCAGTACGTTGGTCGAACGAGACGACGATAGGTAGGGTCGTCGAGAGGGCGAGAGAAGAGAGACCTCGCGCGGATCGTGGAGGGGACCTCGTACGACCGGAGAGAGAACCGGTCTTTCCCCTCCTCGCCCCCCACCTCTCTACCATTGGCGTAGGACATCGAGCGTGGGTGCCAACCAAACCCATCCGCGCTTTTTGCGAGAAGATCCTCTTCCTCTACTAACGCGAGGCCCTCCGCTGCTGCCCCTCGTTAGCGGCCGATCGATACGGATCGGTATCGGACGAGGCGAGGAAAATTTTACGAGGAACGTGCCTCTGCTTCTTTCCATCCACCTCCCGTGGATGGATCGAATGCAATTACGATTTCTTTCTTCCGGGACGCGTTGCTCATTTTCCTTTCTTCTCCCAGCTTTTTTTCGCGCGCGAACGCGTGGAATCGCGACACTTTTTCCGCGACGGATCCTCTCCCTCTCCCTCTCGTGTTTCGGTCATTAACCTCGTAGCCCTTTCGCGCGATACGAGCTCGCATATACGTACGAAAAGGCCGAGATCGAGGCCGCGTCTCGTTACACCAGCGAATACGACCAATGCACCGTTCTTTCTTCCCGCTCTTCTTCTTCGTAACAATTCTCTCCGATAGTATCGATA